AAAACAAATCGGACAGGAGACGCAAGTGAGCAATTCTTGAAAATTAGCAGCTAGCCTAGAACTGCAATACTGCAGTGTCAAAAAGTGAGCACAAAACCCTTCGAAAAATTCTTTGCAGAACGTAAGAATTATTCGCCCTGAGTTGCCTTTTCCAACAACAGCTATAGGATAACAGATTTGCAGACGGGTTTTCACTCCAGACAATTCTTGAGAAGCCAGCTGAAGGGGAAGAAGCGCTCTGGTGTACCACGCTGGCAAGAATTGCAAAGAACTGACCACTGAACTGTAGCGTAAGAACTCTGAGAGACGTACCATTTCGTCACAATAGACTTTTCTGATGAAAAAATGTAATATTTGCAGTGACAGGGAAGTTTTCGATGAACCTCAACCGCGACCCAGAGTGCGCCACAAATCTCCCAGTGAAGTCAGCACCGAACAGGTCTTACATCTTCTATTTCGCCTCTGTGCTTTCACGCTCCATGCTTTTTTCAGTGTGCTGAAGAAAAAGACTTGTGGGTGAAAAAATCACTTTTTCCAAGCATCTCTTTCTTAAATACTGGTCATGGCACTTGTAGCAGCTTTTCAAAATCTAACTTGCTTATTTGGTTGACCAAAAATTGTCGAATTACAAATAAAACTTTGCGAAAAAAATGAGAAAAGTTCAGTTAATTACAGTGTGCTGAATAACAAAAAGGAAATAAATTTAAAAAGATGACTGAGAAAAGTAGTCAGAATGTGTTGTATTTGTGCCTAGAGCGAAAACCCAAGCTAGTTTTTCTAAGACACGCAATCGCACTGGATCCTACTGTTAACGGATTATGTGATTATTTCAGTCAGGTAGCACGAGGGATGCGACGACTGAGGAGAACGAAGACGAAGATGACTACCTTTTCGTCGGTAAATTCTTTGAAAAATATGGCCTTTTTTTAAAATGAAACTTCAAATCCCAGCTTTTGTCCGGTTACCTAGATGATGGGGGAAGGAAGGGTTTGCCTAGCTTCCTCATAACATGATTATCATAAAGTTAGGGGGAGTACCATGCGAATTAGCTTCTAATTTTGATGATTTAGGCGCACAGACAGTGCACGACGTCTCGAAGATGCTTCGTCCGAACGATTTCCGACTCTATTATCAGTTGCCATCGCCCAGCGAAGCTACTGTTCCTTTCGAGATACCACTGTACCTCTCATACATGAGTGCTGCCAAGAAGGTGGATCCGCTTCTCTTCAAAGTTATTAAAACACTGACGTAACAAAGACAGATTATTTTTTTTTTGTTTTAAAAAATGTTTTTTCGTAAAATACATCACAAAATCCCCTTGTTGATCTACTCTTGCTCCTGCCTGCACTTTACGTTTTTTTTCCTGGATTATTTAGCACTTCCTCATTCCAGGTGTACCACTTTCCTGTGGTGTGCACGAAAGACAAGGAAACCGGAAAGGAGGAATGGCGAGTGGTGTATGGCGATCCGAGGCCAATTACGTTTGCAACACTCTCAGCCCTGGTCAAATACCATAAAATTTATTCGTACATGGATCCGGAGACCGGTGCCGTTGATACATTCCCGGTATGGAAGGGTACTGTGATCGATCTTGATATGAGTGATTAAATAAGCGTATAAAATTCTACTGGGAAATATTCGTAATTTTATGTGCGCAGCCGAGCCAGATTCTCTTGTGCCTTGCTCCAGGCATCAAATCGGATAAAGTTGCGCTACAAAATTTGTTTATCCTCACAACGCGGCTAGAAATAATGAATTTAAAAAAAAAATGCAGCCGAACTAAACTTCAGGTACCGTTGCATCAAATCCAGAAACAAAGTACCTATGCACTTGCGCACATTAACCTTTTCCAGGTGAATGTTTCCTGGGCTATTTCGGGATTACAGTGCATGAAATTTCTTGAATCGCCAAAGCCCTTACTATCAATAGATTTTAAAAAATGCTACCCGGCGGGCATGTGCGTGCCTCGCAAAATGCTTCATGAGTCCAACTTGCGTGGTGGAATTCTGCTAGCTCAGTAGTCAGCCAGAAAAAAAGAAGCTGGCCCGAAGGAAGCATTCCCTGCTACGCTGAGACCTGCTGAAGTACTGTAGTTGTCACAGTACAGTGTTTGCCGCACGATAAAGCATCCCAAAGTTTTCTGGCATGATTGCTCTCCTTGCACCGAAATTAGCTTTTTTTTTTTTTTTTTTAAATTGTAGAATAAGAAACAAGGGATTGGTCTAAATGTCATGTGGATGAAGATATTTTAAAATTTTGCACTAATTTGCTTGCGGTTTAAACTATTGCATATCACCATGTTAACACCTCGCGTTCGTTCCATGCACTTCGTGAACCTCATACAGCCGATTTGCATCTGAATGCTTCTTCACTGGTAGTTGAAACCCACACAAACATTCCTGTTGTGCTCTCACAAACATTCCTGTTCAGCTGTTCAATTTCAGTTTTATACTTTTTAATTTTGCTGGAACATACCTCTAAAACATTATGTTTTTCCTATTTACCTACCCTTGTTTTTCTCCACCTATGTAAATTTTACGTTTGTACGTGTTTCTTTTTACTCGTATGTTCTGGGAAAAACAGCTGCTGTGTAACAGGCCTATTCATGCAAATTCAGAAAACGCACGAAATAGACTGCAGGTCAACAAGGAATCTTGAAAATCTACCCTGATAGAACATGCGAGTTGTGAAACTCATGCAGAATTCTGGAAAACAAGTAACTGTGTGAAGGAAAAAACGCTCTGCTTGGATTCAAGTTTTGTGCTGCTTCACATGACATCATGTTTTAGGGCTTGTAAACGGCTAGCAAGCTTGTCAGTTGAGGCTAGCAATCACTAGGGCCTCATCACTCACGGTTTTTTATATATACTCTGCTACAGTTGACAAGTTCAGGGAGAGAGTGAGGAGGCCTCATATTTTCAAATATGAAGAGAAACTATTTTTGATGTTTTTGAAGAGCTCTGCGGTGGGCTGAAGAGGGCGAAAAACAAAAAAACGAAATCCTTTTAGCCAGATGAATGTTGTTGTCGGGGTAACAGCAAATTCAATTTTGTGAATCTTGCGCTCCCACGCCTGCTTTGATTCTTGGAGTTCCGATAACTCCATCAACAGCGCAAAACACTACGATTCTTTCACTCACTGGTGATCTCTTCTAAAAACTCTTGCAATTCCAATTTTCAGGCGAATCTAGAGTAAGGGCATTTTTCCTTGGTATCCTAATTTTTACTCTCGCCTCAATATTCTTGCCGATTTATAAATGTATAAAAATGTACAACTTTCCCGCGATTTATTAAAACTGCTGATTTCCTGAATCTAGAAATCTGATTTCCCAACTCTGCCCGAATATTATCCCTCTGACAGTTTGCTGCCATTGTATGTGCAGTGTTTTGCTGAA